TGCTTTAAATAGTACGTAATAGAGAGGTTAAGATACCCCGGTTCCGGTTTACGGGTACGGGTGATATACACGTACCCGTACCCGTAAATCGGGGAATAACTTGTAACTTAAGAAATCCAAGATACTCCGGCGTGAGAAAACAGATTAGAGAATGGCAACTTTCGCTGTTCAGGTTCGCCATAAATTGTTGAAAACTTTGACGAGCTAGCCACGTGTGCATTATTTATTTGGGTAAGATGTTGAAAATTTTAACTATTTAAACGGCCCACAAATAGTAAACAGAGTACACCGGTACCCGTTTGTCGTTTACGTGTAGACCATGGTTTACCGCGGGGAAACGGGTAGAAATTACGGGTAAAAATGCTGACATCAGCAAAAAAGGTAAACAAAATGGCGATACTCGTACCCGTAAACTGGGGTATCTTAACCTCTCTATTATCTCCCTCTCGCGCTGTTGCGAGGGAGACAGCCTAATTTCGTCACTCTCACGTGATATGCTCTCAACCAATAAAACACTAGAAAAATGCGACTTTGACTATTGATATATAATAAGAACAGTTATTTTCAGATGGTAGAGTAGAGATCTGAGTTTGTGGGATTGATCTCGAGTGATCTCATTAAACAACTTGCACGTCAAGAGCTGCCTGCGTTCGAAGAGGCAGACCGCTTTCTTCGAGGGAATCAGTGTAAGGCATCCAAGGGTAGATTATTCTTAGAGCTCTCTTCTGCAGTCTTTCAATGTCGTCTGATAGGTACTTGGGTAGCGAGTTGTGATAAACTGGGCATGCATATTCAAAGATCGGGCGAATACAGGTGGTATAAAATTTCAGAAGTTCCTTAGTTGGAATGGCTGCTCTTTTGAGTTGTCTCAAGAAATAGAAACGAGGTGCAGCCTTCTTGGTTGTTTCTGATACATGGAAGTTCCATTTTAAGTCGCTCGATATATTCAGCCCCAGCAGCTTTGCGTGTTGAACAATCTCCAGCGACTTTTCATTGACCATCACCGGATGGAATTGGGGATTGGTCCTAGCAAATGAGATCCTGAGTTCTTTACATTTTGCCTCGTTCATTTGGAATTTGTTAGCATGAGCCTTATCTGAGAACTCAGTCACTGCATTTTGCATAGTGCTCGCATTGCCTCTCTCCACACACTCGGACATTGTGTTGTCGTCCACAAACTTCCAAATGTCAGTGTTAGTGTTGTCAATGTCATCGATCATTAGTAGAAAAAGCCACGGCTCCAACTTGGTCCCCTGGGGGACACCTGCTGGAATATCCCTCCATTCTGATTTGCAGTCATCCGCCAATTTGACTCGCTGCTTACGGTGTTTAAGGAAGTCTATGATCCAACATTCGATCTTATGAGGGATATTTAAGGTCGCGAGTTTCGTGGCAAGAATATTATGATCGATGAGATCAAAAGCCTTGCGAAAATTGAAGAGGACAACTCTTGTGGTGTGGTGGCGCCATTTTCGTCAGTATCTTTTGTCCATTTATGGAACATGGTGATAAGAGCAAATGTTGTGGAGGACTTGGGGATGGCGCCGAATTGGTTTTTCTTAATCTTGGCCAAAATCGCTGGTTTCACATGTTCCTCGACGAAAAATTCTTCCGCAATTTTTGACATAATTGGTGTCAGTGAAATTGGACGCAGGTCTTTATGTCCTTTGGTGGGTTTTTCTTTGGGATTGGCACTATGTCAGCTGTTTTCCAGGAAGCAGGGAGGCAGCCTTCGCAATAGGAGCTGTTAAGGATGTCTGAAACAGGGTTAGTCAATAGATCAGCGTTCTCTTTGAGTAACCAAGCCGGGATATTATCAGGGCCTTGCACTTTGCTGGAGTTCAAACTCGATAATTTCTTATTAATGTCCTCACCGTTTAATAAATATATATATATTGAGATATTTAATATAACGACACGCATAAGAACACAAGGTTTGTGGGGTTATGGAAGTGTGGGACAACTGCTCTATAT